TCCTGTTGTTATAAGAATAAAAGTTCACCCAGATTAGGGCTACATCTTTATGACCCAATTTAACTTCAATTACTCCTTTAAAGACCTTTTTTCCAAGTATAGTCACGTTGGGGCTTAGGGCTTCAATATGTAAATTGTGGCTACACAATTCAGTCATTAACACAGAGGATGAAATTCATAGCTCCATATAAATTGAAATGATGTAGTATAGAAATTACCTATTAATTATAAATATGGCTGTACTCTGCCATATTCAAAAGGGAAGGACATTTCAAAGGTAAAGCTTTATATTGGAAAATCTTTTGGAGCATATTGATGTCCCAATATCAACTGGAGGCCCTTGGCCAACTTACAGCCATATATAACGGGGATGGGGGAAAGCTGGTAGAATGTCCCTTGCCACACTACTTTGTGAGTTCTTTCTTATCTCAGTAACTTTTTTCACCATCACTAAGGAAGATATTTCTCTGATCGTAACACTCACAAGAGTAGTGATTCTTACCTGCCCTAGTTTCTGGTCAGGGTGAAGCATGATAATCGCCATACTTTGAACCACACTAAAACCTCAAGGCTCTCCCATTGGGGCAAATAGGAGACATCCACCTCAAATTTCTGCACACACTGGAGACTCAGGCTCACACCTGAGCCTGCACACACTTTCATAATTCACAAAGTGCTTTCACAGATATTATCATTTAAAGCTTAAGTTATTCCTGTGGGATATGTAAAGAAAAATATCCCAATTTTTATAAAGCATAAAGAACTCTCTTCATGAGTAGAAGCAGAATCTAAACCTAGTTTTTCTAATTGCAGCCCCAGTACTTCTTAGAACTCACTTATGAATATTCTACTAATGCCTTTCCATTCAGAGGCTTGCTGCTTTTTCAGTCTCCTTTAACTTTCTTTTTAAAAAAAAATTTTTTTTCAACGTTTATTTATTTTTGGGACAGAGAGAGACAGAGCATGAACGGGGGAGGGGCAGAGAGAGAGGGAGACACAGAATCGGAAACAGGCTCCAGGCTCTGAGCCATCAGCCCAGAGCCCGACGCGGGGCTCGAACTCATGGACCGTGAGATCGTGACCTGGCTGAAGTCGGACGCTTAACCGACTGCGCCACCCAGGCGCCCCCTCCTTTAACTTTCTACCCAACTCTACAAGAAGAAATATGATCAAAGGAAACACAAATGCCAGAGTATTTTTTTAAATGAGAATTATTTTTTAATTGTTATTACACAAATGACAGAGTATTTTTTTAAATGAGAATTATTTTTTAATTGTTATTTCTTTTCTAAAAGCAAAGGGGATTACCAAAATTGAGATCCAGAATTCAGCTAGGCTTCAAGGAGAAGTATTCTCTGACATACTTTATAGTAACCTTTATAAAAATTCAAGCTTATGGAAATTCTCGGCTTAAACTATTCCTATGCTTACCCTATATCTACATCTAGAATATAATTCATTCTTACTAGAATGCTAAGTGAAATATGACTTTGTCTGCCTCTCAAGCTTTGCCACCTTTGTGGTCTAACTTTGACGTTCTTCTTCAAAGCCAGTATACTTTTTTTTTTTTTTTTCCCCCAATACCTCTTCATCCTTCAGGAATCAATTCCAACATCACCTTCATTTGAGAAATTTATCTTTGGGTATTTCAAAAGAATTGAATTGTGTTTTCCTCCCTACCCATTTAACATATTTTCCCTCTCTCTCTCACTATATGGAAGGGCCCAAGAGGGCTAGGCACTCTGTTCTGTGCAATTTTGTATTCCAACCCTTTACTTTAGATACTTCATAATTTTGTTAAACCAAGGAATAAATGAACTTAATACAATGATGCAGCCTGGGTATACAGAGGCAACATATTGTCAAGACGTAGAAGAATAGGCTTTAGGACCAGATCTACTCACATTTCCTGGGATTGAGCCCTGCACTGGGCTCTGCATTGACAGCACAGAGTCTGCTTGAGAGTCTCTCTCTCCCTCTCTCTCTGTCCCTCCCCTGCTCGTGCTCTCACTCTCTCTCTCTCAAAGCAAATAAATAATTTTTTAAAAAGAACCAGGTCTATATTTGAATCCCACTTTTGACATTGATTAGCTAATATTAACTATGGAAAAATGACCTTATCTCTCTCTGTTTCAACATCTGTAAAATAGGAATAAGTTAGGGAGCCTAAGATGCTGAGCACTATGTCGGGCATATTAAGTATCCAACATCTGCCAGGCACTGTTTTAATTTTAAAAACATTATATGTATTAAGAAAATAGCCAAGAGGGTACAGTTGGTATACAGCAACTCTAAATAAGGGAAATGGACCAAAGACGTTCCTTAAGAACACAGAGAAGGAAGTTTCACATGGTGTGCCATATTACAACGCTTTGAGAAACTGCTATCCCACAAGAAACCCAGGCTTTATGATGGATGAGGTGGCCGCCAAAGGACCCGAAGTGAAACCAAGCAGCAAATGAAACTGGTTTTGTTAAAAAGAGTAAAAAGCTATTAATCAGCTCTAATCCAAATCTAAGGGAGATCTGTACGGGAGAGCATTGTCGCTACTGGTCACCTAATGAGCTTTGTAGTCCAACTTCCCACAGAGCTAGTGATCACAGCTGGCTTAATTCTTTTAAACACAAAGTATACATATTATTTATTAAGTTATGTTCCCCCCATTCTGTATTATCACCCCCTCATCCACAAAAACCAGCCATTAAGCCTCTATCTGGAGGCTATGGAGAGGATTGTGTCCTTTATTAAAGCATAAGATATTATGGGAAAAAAATTAAACACCTCCAAAAAGATATGGAGACATTCCATTGTGTATGTCTTTTCTCATTTCTGTTTTATAAAATTAAAATTGTTGCTATCACTGCTAAACAATGCCTTTTGTAGTGTTCAAATCTCAGCAATGTAAATAAAACAAAACTTCCATATAATTTGTAGCAATTTATCTTAGGATTGTAGCTGGACTGGTTTTTAACAAACGTCAGCATTTTACTCTTTTTTAATTTTTTTTAGTTAAAAAACATTTTTTTGATGTTTTAATTTAAAAAAAAATTAATGTTTTATTTATTTTTAGACAGAGAGAGACAGAGCATACGTGAGGATGGGGCAGAGAGAGAGGAAGACACAGAATCTGAAGCAGGTTCCAGGTTCTGAGCTGTCAGCATGGAACCCGATGCGGGGCTCAAACTCATGAACTGTGAGATCATGGCCCCAGCCAAAGTTGGATGCTCAACCAACTGAGTCACCCAGGTGCCCCAGCATTTTACTTTTAAAAAAAGTATTTGCTAACAAATTAATACTATAAATCAAATGTCAGGTTGGAAATTGGACAAATTTCAGAGACTCCATTCACCAAAGGAAATTTAAAATATTTGCTTATATATGGTGTGTAGTCAGGGCCAATCAACCCCATCACCATCATCAGTATCAGTCTTTGAGGACTCTCTGTTATACTTGAAAATACTATTAGACAAACACATCAAGTTAATATCCGACTTTTAGAAAACAAAACAAAACAAAACACACCATTGTACACCCAAAACACACAAAATAATATTTGTACATTTAAAGATTATCAGAAAAAAACCCAAATGAAAAGAAATACTTTTATTTTTATTTAGTTATTTATTTTTACTGAAGTATATTTGGCACCCGATGTTACATTAGTTTTGGGTGTACAGCATAGTGATTCCACAACTTTATACATTATCCTATGCTTACCAGAAATACTTTTCAAATATTTGTAGCAGAGATACATTTTAGAGGGCAAATGGTGTAGAAAAAGAAAGAGAGAGAGAAGAAAAGAAAGAAAGAAGCGAAATTCAATTTTCTGACCTGCTTGAAATAAACTTCCATGTCATTGACACTGCAAAATGGATGTTGACTGATGATCAGAGGCAACAGCTAAGGTTTTCGTGCCTTTTCTGTCAGGGAATGAATTTTTCACTACACACACTCTCACATGTGGTCATTTTCCAAGGGGGCAGAATCCCAATCTGAGGTGACTCTGTCATTCAGTAGTCAATGCTGAGGACCAGCCTGGCTGGGGGCCCTTAGTGCATCACTTGGTACCCTAAGGCTCTGGAAATCAATTTGCCCCAATACCTCCTCTCTCCTTGTCCATGGAAGCTGCTCCCAGACTCTCTCTCTCTCTCTCTCTCTCTCTCTCTCTCTCTCTCTTGTGTGTGTGTGTGTGTGTGTGTGTGTGTGTGTGTGTGTGTGAGACTGGGGTTGGCAGATCTCCTGTCCTAACTTCTTTGGTGCCCTGAGATCAGAATAGCTTCAGAGTGCATCTGCTCTCAGCTCCAGCATCTTCCTCCCAGGGCATCTTACACAGCCTGGCCACAGGGCATCTTACACAGCCTGGCCACATGCTTGTGCTTGAAATTTGAACAGGGACAGGGGACACCAGAGTGTGGGAGGAAAAAGATGGATGGACAGTACAGTGAGAATCAACCCGCATTACCACATCCACCTGAAGGCTGGTCACATTTTATTTTTTTAATTTTTTTTAATGTTTATTTATTTTTGAGACAGAGAGAGACAGAGCATGAACGGGGGAGGGGCAGGGAGAGGGAGAGACACAGAATCCGAAACAGGCTCCAGGCTCTGAGCGGTCAGCACAGAGCCTGACACGGGGCTCGAACTCACAGACCGCGAGATCGTGACCTGAGCAGAAGTCGGCCGCTTAACCGACTGAGCCATCCAGGCGCCCCTGGTCACATTTTAAAGGTAAGTGAGAAGACAGCAATGAGTTTTGAGATATGGCTGTAATAATTGGAATAAATTAGAAATCACTGAGTATTTCTTTTAAAAGGCAAATGATGCTAATAGATCAAGCTTCGGAGTAGAGACACGAAAAGAAAATTCTGATTTGAAGTGCATCTGAAGTGTCTAAAGCCGTCGGTTTAAATGCTGCTTCGCTTTTTAAAATCCCCTTTAAGTAGAAGCTACTATATAAGAAACTAGCCTTCGCTATATTTCTTTTGAAATGAAAATCTTACCCAGAGTCTTCGCCGAGTTTGAGAGGCTTGTTGGTGTGGGCGGGCGGAGGGGCAGAGGCAGGCTGGGGAAGCAGGACTCTGCAATTCTCAATCTTCATCCAGAGTAATGCCACTTAGGTATTTTCTATATTGAACTTCCCAGTACATTTCTGAAGAAAGGACGTTGTCTGAACAAAAGAGAGGGAAAAAGAAAACGTGGGTAAAAAACTGCTCTAGGAGTCAGAGAAATGACAGATTCGATTAAAAGGTAGATCCTACCACACATTGAAACAACCTACAAAGCTAAAAGCAGGATGAAGATGAAATTCGTAAAACTAGCAATCAATCTATACTGGTGGTACTCTTAGAGCATAACATTTCATGGCCAAGCATTTTTTAAATAAGCAACTCAAAGCTATCTCTGTAGGTAGAAAATTCAGTATTCAATGATTTTAGGGGAAAATGGGATTACAAATTATTATTCCTTTTATATATCCAAGTGTATTTTTCTATACCCTATCTTTTCCCATGATGGTTTCTTTAAAGAGAGAAGTGCACTTTATTTACAACCTATAATGTTCACACCTAAGCAATACTCCACATCCAATTATTATTTTTAATAATCCTGTTATTAAAATTATAAAGAAAATGAAGAAGAGGATAAGAAATGCGGTTGAGGGAAAAGAATTATCTAGTAAAAAGTCATCTGTGGCATCAAAGGAAGCTCTGTTGGAAGTCTTATTTTCCATGGAGCCCGATGCGGGGGTTTCTCTGAACCTCAGTTTCTTCATCTGTGAACTGAGGTTGACGATAATCTTTAACATGGAATGCTAGGTACTTTCCTAAGCATGTAGCACTTATTAATTCAACTCTCACACAACTCTGTGAGTTGGTTGTTATTATTCCCATCTTTCAGATGAGAAATCTGGAGGCCCTGGCAATGTGACCAAGGTCACATAACCAATGAATGGGAAAGCTGGGGTCCAACCCAAACTGCCTGATTCCCAGGCCACACACTTGACACCTACCTTATACTGTCTTTCTGGGATGTGAGCCCAGACATTAACTACAGTCTCTACTCTTTACTCCGAGGTTAATCAGTTATTTAATCATCCATTTTATAGATGTTGATTTGCATGTATTATGCATCAGCTACTCTCCTAAGCAATAAGAGATAGCTAGGAAAAAAAACCCAAAAACAAGAAAATGGTTATTCTCATAATGCTTGTGTGATAGCAGGGGGACACAAAATAATAAAAATCAATTTGATATGATTGGTGATAATAAGTGCCAAGAAGAAAAATAGAAAAAGGGGACTGGGATGACAGGAGCAGTTCCTAGTTAGACTGGTTTATGTAAAGAAGGACTTGATCTAGAAGGTTTACTTGACAGGGTGATGTTTGACAGGACTAAAGTGAGTACACTTTCTGAGCTGTTATGTGGATTGCATGAGACAGGTATATAAAAATACTGAAGACAGTGCCCACCACATAGTAAGGACTGGCTAAATCGTATTTTCTTCTCCCCTTCAAGTTAAAAGAAACTGAGAAGGGAAATTGAGTCCAGTAAGGAAGATAAACTGTTGAGGAGAACTTTCTTCCAACTTTTTTTTTTTTTAACAACAAAAAGTAAACATGATCACAGGTCCCAAACATTCTTGAACATTCAAATTTATAAAAACAAAGGTATTGCAAGCCGAGACAGGAAGTATCAGCCCTGTGTGCTGTGTGTGAGAGGGACAGAAAGAGAGACACAGAGAAACAGCATAAAAGGACAGAAGAAAAATTGATAGGAACATTCAATGGTTTCAGCAGAAAGTGCTGACAGACTTTTGAGCATTTCAGTACATGAAGTATCTAATGTGCTAATAAATAATGTTTCTGGCAGGTCCAAATTCAGAACTTTTGTGTAGAGATGGAAAGATGAGAATTTGACTATTCTGGATTCCTTCCAGCTCAATTAATGCCATATATATCATATGGCTCACCCAGATCCATAAATCACAGCTACAACTACCATTACTTTTTTAATGGTGCCATGACTATCACAATGCCATGCAGAGAAATTGATTCCTTTGGGAAAGTTATGTGAACACTAAATTTTATAATGACTAACTGGAGAGTAAACATGGGAAGATAATAGCTCTAAGCTTCTTGTGATAATATATAACTGTAACTATGATATCAAAGCCTCTAACTTGCCTGAGTCCACACAGTGCATTCAGGAAGTCTTCATTTCACAGTTCCGGTATTTGATTAAAGTGAAATTTGTTTAAACGTCCACCTGAAATTTAATACAGAATCCAGGTGCAGGGACTGTAAAATGGTAGTTATTTTGGAGTTCTTGGCACGGACAGGTGGATCAGATCAAGTTAGTGTTAACTTATGTTATTCCAGTGCTGTTAATTAAGGTTTGCAGCCACTTGCTGATATTCACACCCATCATATTCAATCTGTACATGTGTAGTTAATAGATATAATGCAGGGAAGTTTGAGTAATGGAAGTTGATGGATATAAATGTGCTTCTGTTTCTCAAATGGTGAGAAAAGTTCTTTGTAGGAGGCAACAACTGAGGAAACTCTAATCCTGTAGACTGTTCACTCTTCCATTTACTTCAGCTCTTGATTAAGCTTCTGGCTTCCCTAGTGATGCTTCTTGCCAGGAAATGGGGTGCTGCAGGGAGACCGCACCCTCTGATGTCCTCCTCCCTCTCCTTCGCCATCTTGTCTCTTCCTTCACCCAATACTTTGAACTTAGCTTTTTTATTTCTTTTATCTTTTTTTTTTTTTGAGAGACAGAGAGAGAGAGAGAGAGAGAGAGAGAGAGCAAGAGCGAGCATGAGCAGGGGATGGGCAGAGAAAGACAGAGAATCCCAAGCAGTCTCCATGCTGTCAGTGCAGAGCCCAATGTAGCGTTCAAACTCACCAACTGTGAGATGACCTGAGCCGAAACTCACCAACTGTGAGATGACCTGAGCCGAAACACTTAACTGACAGAGTCACCCAGGCGCCCCGAAGCCTAGTTTTTGCAAACCTTCACATGTCCTGTGCTGAAGTCCATGCTGATGCGCTGTTCCAGACTGCTGCTCAGATAATTTTATCTTAGAAAGTAATTCCCCAGTTTAAAGGCACAAGGCATGCAACATTTCAGTTTCCTTCTAAATCTTTTTCCTCTGACTTCATGCCATGGCCCTTTAAAAATAGATCAAATTAGGGTTGTAAAACTGGAAACTGTCAGAAGGACTGTCAGAAGGAACCATGTGACACTCCTGTCAGTGTCCCTATTCTTCATCTCCTGTCTAGATCTTCCCATAGAAACCAGGCCTACATTTGTTTTTGAAAGAGATGGCAGACAGTGTCACAAATAGTATTCCGCATAATTGCAGAATGAATTCATTTTTTGGAAGCACATTATTATTTTACTTAACAGGCAAAATAAAATATGAACAATAAACACAATCCCTCAAATCAAGCTCTTTACAAGGGATAATTTCTGAGTATAGATCCAGCCATACCCTTTCCAAAAGAATAGATTATGTGAGACTTTAAAGCAACAAGTCTTTCTCATTAACAGAAAAAGCAGAGTCGATATGTCTGCTTTCTTCTTAAAGATATCATTTGGCTTTATATGAATTTCATATTTCAGTAACCACGTAACCAAAACTATAGTGGCTTATTCCACTGTGCATGATAAGGGTAATAGTATTGTAACTATAGAAACAACTTTTGATCAAAAATATTGTTGAGACACAGACCTTTCCAGGGGTGTTGTGTTGTACGTTCACACCCTTTCCATGTATGGTATGACTTGTTTTCAGTTCTGAAAAATCTAAATATAAATAATGCATACTGTGCACATACCACATAGTTTACTGAAACAGATGGATGGTTTGAATTTCAGGAAGCCACACTTCTGAGTTTAGAGCCATGGATCACTAATATACTTGATCTATGGATCACTAAAATATTTAAATCATATCTTAACCCTCAAAAGAAACTTATTGAGCCTCATCATAAAATTCAAAAAGGACAATTTGTTACGCTAAATAAGCATTATTTCCTTTACTGTGGTGGCTTAAGCCTACAAATTTGACTCAAGTAAAGTTTCTTTTTTTCCATTGATACTCATTGTAGTTTTGGAGGTATGATCCTAGGTCTCATAGGCTTTTGTCAAGGGAGATACTGGGAACGTCTGTGACTTTGAATATTCAATAGAAGTGGCTCTGTTGTGTTTTCAGACTCTGAATCACTTTGCACATTCACTTCCAATCAGTTAATACTTCAGTCAGGTCACATTCTGAGGCATCCATGATGCTTGGGGAAAACAAAAGTTCCTGTGCCCAATTATAATCTAATTAGGCCATCTTGAAATATAAAACATACGTGACAAAATATAATTGAGAGTTAAGTGGCATGATACAATTGGAAAGAGCTAAATGGATTCACAGGGTTCAACAGGCTGCAAAAGTTGGCAGAGACTTTAAGAAGTCATGTTCTTAATGAGTGGGCAAAAAGGATAAAGAGGAAGAAGAGAAGAAAGAAATTTCAGGAAGAGAGAGACTGAGCTTGGAGGAGAGTTAGACCTGGTTGAGTGTGTTCTCCAGAAATGGAAGAGATTGCCCAGACTAGAATTTAATGGAACATAAGTTTAGATCGTTTGAGTGGGGCTAAATAATAAAGGATATGGACATTCTTCTCATAATGAATTTTTGTAGAATTTTCAGCCGATACATGGAAACTGACAGATTTTGACATGGTGGATCAGAATGGAGAGAAAGTGAGGCCATGGGACCTTAAATCATGCAGAAGATTGTTTCCCCTAATTTTCAGATAATAATTATAGCAAGGGATTAGCTGCCTGTGGATAAATCCAGTTTGAGAAGCCATCAAAGGAAGTGATGGTTATTCTGAAATAATAGTTACAGACTAGTGGAAACATTAAAAAGACCTGCAAAGTTTATTGGACCAGCCAGAGAAATGTATTACTTGTTTCTCATCTCTGACCTGGCTACTCCCTACTGCTACACTTTAGGTATGCAGCCTGATGGAGACTTAAGCTGTCTGAAATGCATTTCCTCTTCCTTGGTAGGTATAACAACAGCACCCGATATTGACAGAGTATTTCATCCTTGTGACTTTGTGAAATGGTTGATTTTGTTTTAAACATGGGACTAGACTGAAATTTAAAA